CTGGCCAAGTACCGGCTGGACGGGAGGAAGGACGCCCGGGCGCCCAGCAGCAACTCCCTCACCGAGGGCCCCGAGCAGGACAGCCTGGAGGACCCCCGGCTGGAGAAGCTGTGGCACAAGGTACCCCGGCGCGGCCTCGCATCGGGAATGGGGGCTGCTGGGCGCTCCTCTGCCCGCGTCCTGCCATTTGTCTATGGGGGGCTCTCCCTGGGTGGGGGTGCCCGAGCTGTGGACGGGGAGCCCCCCGGGCAGCTGTTCACTCAGGCTCCCCCAGGCGAAGACCTCTGGCAAGTTCTCCAGGGACGAGCTGGACAAGCTGTGGCGGGAGTTCCAGCACCACCAGTACAACGTCCTGCTGGAGACGCTGAGCAGGACGGAAGGTGTGTCCAACCCCCACCTCCTGCTCCCAGTGACGGCCCCGCCCCCCGGGGCGCCCTGCTCCCTGCGGGAGGGGAGCTGCGGGAGGGCCCGTGCTGGTTGCCCCTGTTGGTGCCTTTGGCAGGTGCGGGGACAGGTCAGGTGGAGCGCTTAGTGACCTGGTCTCCGCCAGCCTCTCGCACAAACGCATCGTTTTGGCTGCTGTGACCTCTGGTGGCATCGTTGTGGGGTTGGTGGCTCCCCCCTCAGAAAGCCGGGGCCCTGGCAGTTGCGGGGGGGACCTCGGGCTCCTGAGCTGACAGCCTGCGAAGGGCCGACTTGGAACACGGTCTCACATCTGCACCTTCCAAAGGAAGGGGCGGGGGCTTAGGGACCGAGAGCTGTGGCCTCCCCGTGATGCGGGCGGCTCGTGGCTGTGTCCCCAGGCCCCGGGCCTCACCAGGCACCCGCTTTGTCTCCCAGAGATCCAGGAGAACGCCATCAACCCCTCGGACATGCGCCGCGCGCAGGAGGAGGTGCTGCACAGCCGGCACGCGGAGCTCAAGGACCGGCTGCGGCACATCAGCCAGGGCTACGACCGGCTGCGGAAAGTCAGCCACCAGGGCTACGGCGCCGAGGCCGGTGAGCTCGGGCGGGGGCGGGGCGGGTCCCACAGCAGGCACTCCTTCCGCATGTGCACCTGGGCTCCTCTGTCCCTTTTCTCTGAAAGTTACACACCATCCCCTTCACATTCACGGTCCCTTGGCCCGTGTAGCGGTCAGGACAGCTGGTTACGCTGCAGTAACAAACAGCTCCACACGCAGTGGCTCATTTATACCAGCACTTCCTTCTCGAGTCCACTGCTCACACCAGGACCCCCTGTGGGGCCTGACAGGAAGCCAGCCTCACCCAGCGGGTCCTGAAAGCTGCAGGCTGAGCAGGTGCGGGAAGGATGCCTGACGGATGCTGCACACGCAGGGGCACACTCGTGCTCACGGGCACCTGTGCATCATACACATGCCCACACCTGCACGCTCACACCCTGTGCTGGAGGCCTGGCGGACACGCAGCCCGGGCACCACGGCCGTGCGCGTCTCTGAGGTGACCCCACTCTCCACAGAGTTCGAGGAGCCGCGGGTGATCGACCTGTGGGACCTGGCCCAGTCGGCCAACTTCTCTGAGAAGGAGCTGGAGGCCTTTCGGGTGAGCAGGGAACGGGCTGCCTGTCCTGTCCTCTCCTTGGCAGCTGGGAAGGGGCTGCGGCCTCTTTATCTCTAACTGCAGCCATGGCCCCTCCCAGGGCCTGCTGGTGCCCACCTCCCCTTCCGCCCCGCTCCATCCCTCCCACCTCCAGTGAAGCGGCTTCCCCATTCCCCATGTGCACGGGGCTGCAGGGCGGCTGCGAGGGGGCTGTGGCCCCTGGGAAGGCGGGGAAGTCAGCAGCTGGGACGTTCTAGGACAGTGATGACAAACCCATGACACGGGCACCTATACATCATGCACCTCTGACACGCGAACTCATTTTTTGGTTGATTTTTCTTTGTTAAATGGCATTTAAATATCCTATCTAATAATAGAGAATCATGGTAATTAACCGTAACTTCGCTACCCTTCCCATTGGCTAATCAGCGAGATATGCAAATTAACTGCCAACCAAGATGGCGGCCGGCAGCCAGGCAGCTGAAGCAAACAGGAGACTTGCTTGCTCCAGTGACGGAGGAAGCCAAGGTTCCCCGCCTGCCGCTGCCGGCCCTGAGCTTGCACTCTAAGCAACTATGTTGCAATTATAGAAGCTAAACAATCCCCAGAAACCTTTTAGCCGTCAGAGGTGGACCGAGCAGGACCGCAACAATGTTAAAATTATAGAACCCAAACAAACCCAGATCCCTGCTTTCAGCAGCCGAGGCCTCAGAGCTGGAGCCAAGCCTCAGAGCTCAAGCCGGC